AATGCAACATTTGCAACCCAATGCCGTAGACCTCAGATATTTCAAACTATGAATTCTATTAAATTAAAGAATTTAAGTTTTAAACTTCAAAGGTTTACATCATTAGGTTGCAAAGATTTAGGGATTTGAAAATTTGAGTTTGTGACAGAGACCCATTTCCTTTAATCAAATCAGTAGAAAATCGTATTTTAATCTTTTGCGAACTATTTTATTTGGTTTTATCTTAGAACTGTTAATTTTTCATAAATAGTTGCTAAACGAAAATTTAAAGGTTCCTAGCTTGAAAACACATAATATTTCCAAAGGATTTCTTTTTTCAAAATCTCATAACTGGTTTTTTCTAGTAAAGTCATAAAATATTTTCGTTTAAAGTTTCAAGCCTAAAAAACGTAACATTTCTAACAGAAATACTTTTTTCAAATTATTCTTTCCTTGATGCGTGGAATGCAAATTTAATTTAATTTAATTTCATTTATAATTTGTAAGAATGATTTTAAGTGAAAACTTGACATAAAACTGTTGATCAAATATTTTTTTCAGAACGTCATCATCTTCTTACAAACTTTGTTTAAAATTTTATTAGAATTTTTTGTTCACAATTATTTGTCATTGATTCAGTAAAATATCGTATTTTCATCTTTTGAGAACTATCTTCCGGTGGTAAATAAGTACCTCAGAACGGTTTATGTATCGTAAAAAATTTGCGTAACGAAAATTTAACCCTATTCCTGCTGGGGGGTGGGGGGTCAATTTGACCCCCCCTGTAGTTTTTTTTACATAACTCAAAAAGTATTGGTCTGAGGCTGTTGAAATTTTCTGACTTTTCCTACATACCCAAAGCCCTCCTTTTAGGCCTAAAACCGGGCTTTAATACTAACTGCCTGAGTCCTCAGGCACACTGCCTNTTTTAAAGATAATGCTAAAAATCTGCCAATTATATTGTTATGCAGAGAGGGCTTTACAGTCATAATTTCACCTCGGATCAAACTTATTATTATTGACACCCCGGACTAACCAGAGTGAGCAGCATTCGGTTTCATTTATTTGAAATCAAACGTGTTTTGATCTATAATTCAACAATCTTTAAACTTACGAATTTGTTTATTTCATACTTTTTCATTCAAAATGTTATGCCGTCAAAAAAGTATTACAGGAAAAAGACTAAAATATTATGTCTAATGGGTCAAATTGAGATCGAAAACCACCGCATGCACTTTTAAATTTTAGGATAAATGCTTTATTTCTATATTCAAAGCCAAGGTACTTATGCGAGGAAAGTTATTTCAGAGGTGTACGCATTTTTTGTACTGCAGTGTACTGTCTTTGGGCGGAAAGGTAAACACAAGACGGATTCCACAGCCTGACATGGAATTCATTTTCACAAAAATAATCTATGAAATATTCTGGTCATAGGAAACTATTATTATCAAAATTAAATGCTTGAATAATCCTCGGATACTAAACGAACACTGAGGCATCTATTCTTGTTTACAAATTCCGCCCAGTGAGAACTGGTTTCAATTAGTACGCAGAGTATACACAACCGAAATTAACTTTCCTTGCATTAGTACCTTGTTAAAAACTATCTCTGAAAAGGAATTAAATTAATCCGTATGTCTTCATAAGATGGAGATCTTAATTCTTAATCCCGAGATTTACAACACAAATGTTCTAACTCTGAGCTGGAAACTTTTGTATTGTATATTCATAATCCTGATTGCTTGATCTTGATCTTGATATCCATAGTGGACACATTTAATTTAAGGATCCATGCTTAATCTCTTCTTTTGAGTAACCCTTCACGGTAAAATTACACTTCATGGATAACAAACAAAAAATAAATTAATCTACAGATTAACAACAAATTGAGATCAGGCATTAATCTAGATATCCACAATACAAGAGTTCCCAGCTCAGATTACTGTTGTAAATCGTTGACTTTTATGAAAAGATAGGTTGCTGTTTTTGTTTTACGCTGCTAATTCCTTCACGTTTGTATGTCGTTAGTTATATTAATGTTACTGACAGGTCCATCACCTAGTGGCGTTCCTTTTTTATTGATAACGAAATCTTTCTATCTTTAACAAAACTTTACCATCGAATGAAAGGTATTTGGTTTCACACAGTGCATTTTAGCGAAGAATAAGTTATTTATAAAAATAAAGAAATTCTTCAAATGATTTAAATAATGAAATTTTCTAATAGTTTTTAAAACTTTCCTTCGTTAACTGAACTTTACCCAGCTTCATTAATTCTTTCATGTTAAGGTATTTTAATAAAACATTTTTTTATTTGGGGTATTTCAAGTAATAAAATTTATTTATTTGCTAGTATGTTCTCCTTCCTGGATTTTTATTTAATTCCAGAATGCAAGTATTCTCTTTGTCATGTATCGCCTGTATTCTGGTTTTTGGCCTTGTTAGCTCCTCCCCGCTGCAGAGGGTAAGATTGCTATTTGATTTTGGTTTAACGTCACCGTCTAAACCTCATAAAGCAAACAAGTGTTAACAGTATTTTAATCTTGGGTCAAATTTTTTAATTCCTATTTCTTTCTTGTATTCTTATTTTTGCATTAAGGAAAAAATCTTTGTTGTTAAATCTTACACCATCAAGATTGTCAAATATTTTTTTGTAAGTTTTTGGATTTTTATTAGTTATGAAAGTAGTTTAGTTTCTTCGTTGTTTTTTATACATTTTTTCAGGGTTATGCTCCAGAAGCAGCAATGTACGGGCATGGATACAATATTAGAACAAAAAAACCCTTTTGTAATGCTTTTACAGGTTTATATATAATATTAGTAATTTTTTTGATTATGTTATATATTTAACATTTTTATATTTATATTCATACAATGCATTTTAGCAAAAAATAAGTTATTTATAAAATAAAGAAATTCTCCGTAAGATTTCAATAATGAAGTTTTCTAATAGATTTTAAAACTTTCCTTGTTGTGGGGCTAGTTAGTTTTGTTCCAAATAGAATTTGATGATTATTTCAAATGTGTCTACCCTCTAGTAGTCTATTTTCGTTGGAGCCCCCCAGATTCTCGTTGGAGACCTCATATTTTTAATTGTAGGGGACCTCTAACAAAAATCTTGAGTCTCCAATGAAAATATGGAGGTCTCCAATGAAACTTTGGAAGTCACCAACGAAAATATGAATCTCCAATGAAAACCCGGGGTCCAAACGGAAATATGGAAGTCTCCAACGAAAATATGGGGTTTCAAATGAAAATCTGGAGTATCCAATGAAAATTTTTGGGTTTCCAACGAAAATATGGGATCTCCACTGAAAATATGGGGGTCTCCAACGAGAATCTGAGCGTCTCCAACGAAAATATGGGGTCTACAATGAAAATATGTGGGTCGCAAATGAGAATCTAGGCGTCTTCAACGAAAATACTGGGTCTCCAATGAAAATATGTGGGACTCCAACGAGAAACTGGGGGTCTCCTTTGAGACGTCCATGGAGGACTCCAATGAAAGGGGGTCTCCAATAGTACTCCAATGATGATGTTTTCTACCCAGACTCACAGCTGAATCAAATGTAAATTTAGATTAAACTAGTGTTTAAAGAGACTGTAAGCGTAATGTTTAAGTGACCCTCCACCCATGCAAAGATGCAACGCCCGATTCATAACGGTATCCTTAAAGGGACTGAAAAGGAAAAATGAAAGGGGGTAAAGGATGAAACATGAGAATCTTAGGCGTTGAACGATACCTATGAGACAATTATCTGATGTTCCTGTCTCGAGATATAAAACTGTATCAAAATTATACGAAAATTCATATATGAACAATTTTGTATAAAATTAGTATGTTTAAACAGATCATATTCAGGAAATACGCAACCAATCTGAAAACGATTATATCCCACAGTGTAGAGCTATAGCTCTAGTTTCTATCTGATCGAATTTTATAGTTTTCTCTTTTTAGAGACAAGAGATGTATCTGAGACAAAGAGACAATCTAAGAAGAGAGTTGGATTAGTGAAAATCCATCAGACGAACAGGATCCAAAGATATAAGTTTCCCTAGAAGCAAAAATTTGTGTATCAAAATGTAGAAATTTTTAAGTCAAAATGCAGAATTTTTTTAATAATACAATCTATCATGCACATTTTTATACACCCTTTACTCAGCTTTACTCTTATTTATTTACTTAATAGGTAGTTATAGGGCCTATACACATATTTCATAATTTTTAAAAACATAATTAGTATGATAATTTGATATTTGATATTTGTAAAAAATAAATTTAAATTCAATTTACGTTTTGGTATGTTATTTGAACAAATTAGAAATGATAATACACCCCCCCCCCATTCAAAGGAAAAGGGGGGGGGGTAAAGTTAAGAACATGGAATATTTGGGATCCTATTATATCCAGCATGGTTTTTAGGGTGACAGCTTGCAGGGAGAAGATTTAGAGTCTTATATAATTTCACAGATGAAATAGTAAGTATTGATTATTGACGCAATTTCATCCGCTGTTAATGATTAGACAAAAGAAACCATTGTGAATCAGACATACAACTTTGTAAGCCTCTCTTGAAATTACGTATACATAGTACATACCCTTTAAACGCTGAAAAAAATCAAAGATTTATAAATCTAAATCGATTTGAATGATCTTAAGATGTAGCTATATAAAACTACTAGTTTGTTTTCATATTCTAGGTTTTCTTGGTGGTTAAGAGTTTGTTTACTAGCATTTTCTCAGCCCTGACCTACGTATTATGTTTTGTTTTTACATAGTTGGGGTTGGGATGTAAAAAGATGGCGGCAATCAGAATTTTAATTCCAGCTTTTCAGGCTTTACGAAATTCTTGTTCCCTTTGGAATTGATAGCTAGCCATACAATTCGTGAGATAAAAAGATTAATTGAAAGATAAAAGAATTACGTCATCGGTTACGAAGATGAATTGAATTAGAAAACCAGTGTTCTCGTCGAGTAATTTAAGTTTAATTTGTCCCTTTTATAGGTTAAGTTCCGTACACATGGTTAGATTTTAAACGAGACGAATGCTGATAACATGTAGAAGCAAATCCTCAGATTTATTTGGCAATTTATATTTGAAATACATTTGTACATTTGTTATATATATTGTAGTTTAACAAAAAAAAGTATTTGTTTAATGCATGTTAAACTTTAAGAACACTTATATATTGATGCTGAAAATACACCCAAGTGCTTCTTTTTTATGTACATTAACAATTATGTAATGTAAATCAATGTACATGAAATACATTTAGACAGTGAACACATTTAGAAATTATTTCCATCGATGTACCAGCACAATGTACAATGTACAATGTTGTTCGTACACTTTTAACTTAATTCTTAAACGGAAAATAAAGTATTTAACATATAAGGAGGCTGAATAAATACATTTGTAACTGCTGATTTTAATTCAAATGAAATAAATATACAATTTCTTTATGAACCTTTTTAGCATTTTTTTCTTATCCTCTTCAATCTGTGATCAGTTTTTAAACTTTTGTGGAGAAACTATATAAAAATTTCTATCTAGCCACAGCCCTCCACCACTATTGTAGCCCGCGGCACCTAAGAAGTGAAAAACGTAGAAGCCGGAACCGAACTCTTAATGATGTTTTTTTCATGGAAAATATTTAGTATATAGAAACATAAGCCAAAAAGGCGTATGCGTATAAATACATAATTTCAATCAGTACAATATCAAATGTACATAGTTTAAGAATCTGCAGTGAGGTCCATAAAAATGTGGAATAGGAAGACGTTCCTTTGACTCAAGTTATGACTTTATATAGTCTACTCTACATGAAACGCAGCGATAACCATAGATAAATCAATAACGTAATAAGTTGGGTTTCAAGTAGGGCTGGGCAGGTTCTGGCTTTTCAAAATTTTGTTCCATTCCGTTCCGTTCCATTCTTAGTCAAAGAACGGTCATCCTGTTCCGTTCCGTTCTTGGTGTTCTAAGTCAAAGAATCGTTCCATCCCCCATTTTGTGGTTAGTCAATAAGAAATGATGGGGGGATGGGGAGGCTGGTGGTCAAGACAAAAGTTTTGTAGAAAAGAGGTTGTTAAACAAATTTTTAAAAATGACGATTTTATAATAAAAAGTTCCTCACGACCGAAAATATAATTTAAATTATATTTAATGTATATTTTTTTTAAGCTGGGGGAGGGGCGGGGGTCATGTAATCCTTAAAATGTATGATGATAGCGTGTAATTGCTGAGAATCTAGTTTATCTTTAAAAAGGGGGTTTACAATTTGTAGATTTTAAAAAAATTATTAATTTTCACAATCAATATTTCAATAATATTAAAAAGAGATATATAAATAAAAACTTTAAAGATTTCTAGATGATTTAGTCTACATTCCTGATTTCAAATGCGTTTTTGACTTAGAACGCGTTCCTGATTTTAAATGTTCTTTTAAGCTAATATCCGTTCCGTTTCGTTCCGTTCTTCTACGTTCCATTCCAAAATTGTTAAGTACGCGTTCTTTGCGTTCCATTCTTTTTTTCGGAACGATGGGATCGTTCTTGATAGTTCCGTTCGTTCTTTTGAAGGAACGATCGTTCTTCAAGAACGACGCCCAGTTCTAGTTTCAAGTCACTGCTAAGACTATTTGCTTTATAACTGTAACAGAAACACAGAAACTTGCTTAAATATTGTCTTCATTTTCCAAGATATAGAATATCGTTGAAATAAATCCTTTTTGGTGCATATGCATTGAATAAATCAGAAAACAAAAAGAGGAAGAAATAATACTTCTGCACAAAAATCTTGGTATCTACAAAACTGGTTGACCCAATTAATAAAACCGGGTTTTTGAAACTGAGTTTTATTACAATATTCTATCTTAAGTTTTGTAAATATCAGATTTTAAAAAGACATATTTTAGGTGCTGATAGATTACAGAGGCGTGTGTATACAATACATTTAAAAATTGTTATACAATTTTCTATTTGCATTAGAAACGATTTTTAGTCTTTTGTGAGAATTGCGTTCGAATTGTTTATTTGTTATAAGATGTATCTACTTGTACTGTAATTGCAATGAAGAGCTTGAATGTGAATCACTATTAATATATCTTAAATATTGGATAAACTTGACCGGCAAGCAAATATGTTGAATATCAATGTACAGTGTACACTGTACATGGTATATGAAAATTTGATTTTAACAAATAAGTATGGTTTTTGAGAAATAAATTTTATAAAAATAAGAAGATAAATAAAAGTAAATTTCAAAATATTTTAAAAATATAGTTTTATGTTCTTGGTTTTGATGAAAAAAATATTGAAATTTTTCAGAAATAAAAACACTTTTTGGGAACTAAACTTTTTAAATTGACGATATTATTTTTAAAATGTGCATAAGTATTAATTATTATTCTACAATTGTTTATAACAGGAATCGATATTTCTCCATCACTTTAATCTGTAGTTCTTTATATTTCGGCAATGCTGTCAAGCTAAAGGAGCCACAACCTCTGCTTTTCTAAACCCTATATCTTTGGATTCCAATGTCGTAGACCTAAGATATTTCAAACTATGAATTCTGTTAGATCAAAGGTTGAAATATCAAAGTAGTACGACATTGGTTTCCACGGATATTGGGATTATAATTCAGAGTTTGTGGCAAAGATTCAATTCCTTTGAACTCAAAGTAAATGCTGGTTTCTTTGTTTTTAAATCTAAAAAAATTTAAATTGCTGGAAAATTCAAACTTGTGTTTTGATGCTTTGTTATTCTCTCTTGAACCTGTCCTCCTGTTAGTCGGGTTCTCCTCAGTTGAATCTAGGGTATTACATGAGTTAACATTTTGCCATTTCAGTTGCATATGAACTTTTAATTTCATTACTATTGATGTGAGTATACTTCCATACACTGCTTAATTTCATACTTAAATTTAGATTATTGATAAATATCTACCTGGAATTGGGAATGATATTTTTGTAACTTATGATGATACCAAGAAAGTTCAACTTTTCATTAATATTGTCAATATTTGTCTTCTATTTTCAACGTTGATGATGAACTTGTAACTGTTGAATTTTCTGCAAGCAAAGATGTATTCATGGTTGGTGATCCTGGTGTTGTTGAATTTGCTTATGGCAATGAAATAAGTATTTATTCTTATTGGTATTGCAAGTAATTCTAAAGTTGTCCAATTTTCTATAGAAAATAATGTCTTAACAGATGATGTTTTCTTTGCTGTTATTGGTGAATTTTCACTTTGCAATGATGTCTTCACAGTTTGTGTTAAAGATGTCATTATGGAATTTTCCGTTGGTAATGATGCATTCAGAGATGTTAAAGATGTTAAAGTTGATATTGTGGAATTTTCGGCTACCAATGATTTTACAGATGATTTTGATGCTGTCATTGTTGAATTTTCTATTTGCATTGATTTATTTACAGATAATGTTGATGCTTTCATTGTGGAATTTTTTGTCGGTAATGATGTATTCACATATGATGTTGAAGTTGTCTTTGTTAAACCTTCTGCTGGTAATAATGAATTTACAGTTACAGTTGAATAATTATTGTCTATTAGCATTGTTGCAATCAAAGACGGAGGTACAGCTTTGAAAGTTATATTCTCTGTTGACAATGATGTATTTACAGATGATGGTGATGCTTTTATTGTTGAATTTTCTGTTTGCAATGATGTTATCACAGATAATGTTATAGCTGTCATTTTCTTATTATCCTTTGTCAATGATGCATGCCCAGATGATGGTGATGCTGTCATTGTTTATTTTTTTGTTGTATTCACAAATGTGCTGGCATTATTGAATTTCCTGTTGGAAATGAATTATTCAAAGATAGTGTGGACGCTGTCATTGTGGAATTTCCTGTTAGCAATGATGTATTCACAGATGGTGTTAAAGATGGCATTGCTGATTTTCTTATTAGAAATGAGGTATTTACAGGTGGTGTTAAAGATGTCACTGTGGAATTTCCTGTTGAAGCTGTCATTGCTGAATTCTCTGTTGACAATGATGCATTGAGTGATGGTGTTGACGCTCTCATTGCTGAATTTCCTGTTAGCAATGATGTATTCACAGATGGTCTGAACGCTTTTGTTGTATATCCTGTTAGCAATGATGTATTCACAGATGATGTAGATGCTGTCATTGTTATATTTCCTGTTAGCAATGATGTGTTCACAGATGGTATTGACGCTGTTTTTGTTGTATTTTATATTTACAGATGGTGTTGAAGCTGTCATTGTTGAATTTCTTGTAAGCAATAATGTATTTGCAGATATTGTTGATACTATCATTGTTGAAGTTTTGGCTGGGAATAATGTATTTTCAGATGGTGCTGAATCTGTTCTATTTAATGCTGGCAAAGATGTGTTCACTGATGATGTGGACGCTGTAGTTGTAAAATTTTTTGTTAGCAATGATGTATAAACAGATGGTGTTGAAACAATCATTGTTGAATTTTCTGTTGGCAACAATGTATTTACTGATAATGTTGTAGCTGTCATTGTTAAATTTCCTGTTGGCAATGATATATTCACAGAATGTATTGATGCTGTCTTTGTTGAATATTCTGTTAGCAATGATGTATTCACAGATGGTGTTGAAGCTACAATTTTTGAGTCTCCTGATAACAATGATGCATTTATAGATATCACTGCTGAATTTTCAGAATGATATATTCGTCGATGGCGTTGAAGCTTGTGTGGTTGAATTTTCTGTTGTTGATGATGATAGTTTCACAGATTTTGTTAAAGATGTTATTGTTGAATTTCCTGTTAGCAATGATGCATTCACAGGTGTTGTTGAAGCTGTCATTGTAGAATTTTCTGTTGGCAATGATGCATTTACAGATTGTGTTACAGCTGTTATTGTTAAATTTCCTATTAGCAATGATGTATTCACAGATGGTGTTGAAGCTGTCTTTATGGAATTTCCTGCGAGCAATGATACATTCACAGATGGTGTTAAAGTTGTCCTTGTTGAATTTCCTATTTTCAATGATGGTGTGGACACTGTCATGATTGAGGTTTCTGTTGGCGATAATGTAATCACAGATGGTGCTGAAGCTGTCATGATTGAATTCTCTATTGAAAATGATGCATTTACAGATGATGTTGATATTGTCAATGATGAAGTTTTGGCGGGGAATGATGTATTTTCATATAGTGCTGAAGTTCTTATTGTTCTATTTACTGCTGGCAAAGATGTTTTCACAGATGGTGTGGACGCTGTAATTGTTAAATTTTCTGTCAGCAATGATGTATGCACAAGTGGTGTTGAAGCTTTCATTGATGTTTTTTCTGTTGGCAACAATGTATTTTCAGATAATTTTGAAGTTGTCATTGTTAAATTACCTGTTGGTATCAATGTATTCACAGATGGTGCTAAAACTGTAATAGTATTTATTGATGAATTCACGGATTTTATTGATGCGGTTAGTGTTGAATTTGCAACTGGGTATGAAGTATTCCCAGATGGTGTTGAAGCTGTAATTTTTGAATTCTCTGTTGACAATGATGCATTTACAGATGTTGTTGATGTTGTCATTGTTGAATTTTCTGTTGGCAATGATATATTTACAGATTGGGTTGAAGTGTTTATTGTTGAATTTTTTAATGGCAATGATGTTATCGCAGAAAGTGTTGAAGCAGTCATCATGGAATTTTCTGTTGGCAACAACGTATTCATAGATATTGTTGAAGATGTCATTGTTGAATTTTTTATTGGAACTGATGTATTCCCAGACAATGTTGAAGTTGTAATTGTTGAATTTCCAATGGGCAACACTGTATTTACAGATAATGTTTTTATTGTTAAATTTTCTGTAGGCAAGATTGTATTCATTGAAAATGTTGAAGCCGTCATTGTTGAATTCTCTGTTGGCAATGATGTATTCATGAATGATGTTGAAGTTGTCATTGTTGAATTTCCTTTTAGCAATGATGTATTTAAAGAGGACATGAAATCTGTTATTGTTGAATTTTCATTTTCTATTTGCAAAATTGTATTCAATGTTGATATTGATGCTGTCATTGGCGCATTTCCTGTTGGCAATGATTTATTCACAGGTGGTGTGGGCACTGTCATTGTAGAGGTTTCTGTTAGCGATGATATATTCAGAAATGGTGTTGAAGTTGTTATTGTTGTATTTCCTGTTAGCAATGATGCAATCACAGAGGTGCTGAAGGTGTCCTTGTTGAATTCTCTATTAACAATGATACATTCACAGATGCTGTTGATACTGTCATTGATGAAGTTTTGGCTGGGAATGATGTATTTGTAGATGGTGTAAATGCTGTAATTGTTGTATTTAATGCTGGTAAAGATGTTTTCACAGATTGCGTGGATGTTGTAATTGTTAAATTTTCTGTTAGCAATAATGTATTTAAAGATAATGTTGGAGCTGTCATTGTTAAATTTTCTGTTGGCATTGATGTATTCACAAATATTGCTGAACCTGTAATCGTTGAATTTCCTGTTAGCAATGATGCATTCACGGATGTTGTTGATACTGTCAGTGTTGAATTTTTAACTGAAAATGATGAATTCTCTGATGGTGTTGAAGTGGTGATTGTTGAATTTTCTGTTGTCAATGATTCATTCATAGATGGTGTTAATGCTCTCATAGTGGAATTATCTGTTGGCAACGATGTAATCACAGATGGTGTTGAAGCTGTCATTGTTGAAGTATCTGTTGGCAATGATGCATTGACAGATGTTGTTGATGCTGTCATTGTTGAATTTTTTGATGAGAATGATTTATCTTTAGATAGTGATGAAGCTATCATTGTTGAATTTTCTGTTGTCAATGATTCATTCATAGATGGTGCTAATGCTCTCAAAGTGGAATTATCTGTTGCCAATGATGTAATCACAGATGGTGTTGAAGCTATCATTGTGGAATTTTCTGTCGGAACTGATGTATTCCCAGACAATGTTGAAGTTGTAATTGTTGAATTTCCAATGGGAAAAACTGTATTTACAGATAATGTTTTTATTGTTAAATTTTCTGTAGGCAAGATTGTATTCATTGAAAATGTTGAAGCCGCCATTGTTGAATTCTCTGTTGGCAATAATGTATTCATGAATGATGTTGAAGTTGTCATTGTTGAATTTCCTTTTAGCAATGATGTATTCAAAGAGGACATGAAATCTGTTATTGTTGAATTTTCATTTTCTATTTGCAAAATTGTATTCAATGTTGATATTGATGCTGTCATTGGCGCATTTCCTGTTGGCAATGATTTATTCACAGGTGGTGTGGGCACTGTCATTGTAGAGGTTTCTGTTAGCGATGCTATATTCAGAAAGGGTGTTGAAGTTGTTATTGTTGTATTACTTGTTAGCAACGTTGCAATCACAGACGGTGCTGTAGGTGTCCTTGTTGAATTCTCTATTAACAATGATACATTTACAGATGCTCTTGATACTGTCATTGATGAAGTTTTGGCTGGGAATGGTGTATTTGCAGATGGTGTTAATGCTGTTATTGTTGTATTTAATGCTGGTAAAGATGTTTTCACAGATTGCGTGGATGTTGTAATTGTTAAATTTTTCATTGTTGTATTTCCTGTTGGCAATGATTTATTCACAGGTGGTGTGGGCACTGTCATTGTAGAGGTTTCTGTTAGCGATGATATATTCAGAAATGTCGTTGAAGTTGTTATTGTTGTATTTCCTGTTAACAATGATACATTCAAAGATGCTGTTGATACTGTCATTGATGAAGTTTTGGCTGGGAATGATTTATTTGCAGATGGTGTAAATCCTGTAATTGTTGTATTTAATGCTGGTAAAGATGTTTTCACAGAATGCGTGGATGTTGTAGTTGTTAAATTTTCTGTTAGCAATAATGTATCTAAAGATAATGTTGAAGCTGTCATTGTTAAATTTTCTGTTGGCATTGATGTATTCACAAATATTGCTGAACCTGTAATAGTTGAATTTCCTGTTAGCAATGATGCATTCACAGATGTTGTTGATACTGTCAGTATTGAATTTTCAACTGAAATTGATGAATTCTCAGATGGTGTTGAAGTGGTAATTGTTGATTTTTCTGTTGTCAATGATTCATTTATATATGGTGGTAATGCTGTCATAGTGGAATTATCTGTTGACAATGATGCATTGACAGATGTTGTTGATGCTGTCATTTTTGAATTTTTGGATGAGAATGATGTATCTTTAGATAGTGATGAAGCTATCATTGTGGAATTTTCTGTTGGCAATGATGTATTTCCAGACAATGTTGAAGTTGTAATTGTTGAATTTTCAATGGGCAACACTGTATCTACAGATAATGTTTTTATTGTTAAATTTTCTGTAGGCAAGATTGTATTCATTGAAAATGTTGAAGCCGTCATTACTGAATTATCTGTTGGCAATGATGTATACATGAATGATGTTGAATTTTTCATTGTTGAATTTCCTTTTAGCAATGATGTATTTAAAGAGGACATGAAATCTGTTATTGTTGAATTTTCATTTTCTATTTGCAAAATTGTATTCAATGTTGATATTGATGCTGTCATTGTTGTATTTCCTGTTGGCAATGATTTATTCACAGGTGGTGTGGGCACTGTCATTGTAGAGGTTTCTGTTAGCGATGATATATTCAGAAATGGTCGTTGAAGTTGTTATTGTTGTATTTCCTGTTAGCAATGATGCAATCACAGAAGGTGTTGAAGGTGTCATGGTTGAATTCTCTATTAACAATGATACATTCACAGATGCTGTTGATACTGTCATTGATGAAGTTTTGGCTGGGAATGATGTATTTGCAGATGGTGTTAATGCTGTTATTGTTGTATTTAATGCTGGTAAAGATGTTTTCACAGATTGCGTGGATGTTGTAATTGTTAAATTTTCTGTTAGCAATAATGTATTTAAAGATAATGTTGGAGCTGTCATTGTTAAATTTTCTGTTGGCATTGATGTATTCACAAATATTGCTGAACCTGTAATCGTTGAATTTCCTGTTAGCAATGATGCATTCACAGATGTTGTTGATACTGTCAAAGTTAAATTTTCAACTGAAAATAATGAATTCTCAGATGGTGTTGAAGTGGTCATTGTTGAATTTTCTTCTGTCAATGATTCATTCATAGATGGTGTTAATGCTCTCATAGTGGAATTATCTGTTGGCAATGATGTAATCACAGATGGTGTTGAAGCTGTCATTGTAGAAGTATCTGTTGACAATGATGCATTGACTGTTGTTGTTGATGCTGTCATTGTTGAATTTTTGGATGAGAATGATGTATCTTTAGATAGTGATGAAGCTATCATTGTGGAATTTTCTATTGGCAATGATGTATTTCCAGATAATGTTGAAGTTGTTATTGTTGAACTTGAAATTGGCAAAATTGTATTTACAGATAATGTTTTTATTGTTAAATTTTCTGTAAGTAAGATTGTATTCATTGAAAATGTTACAGCCGTCATTGTTGAATTCTCTGTTGGCAATGATGTATTCATGAATGATGTTGAAGTTTCATTGTTGAATTTCCTTTTAGCAATGATGTATTTAAAGAGGACATGAAATCTGTTATTGTTGAATTTTCATTTTCTATTTGCAAAATTGTATTCAATGTTGATATTGATGCTGTCATTGTTGTATTTCCTGTTGGCAATGATTTATTCACAGGTGGTGTGGGCACTGTCATTGTAGAGGTTTCTGTTAGCGATGATATATTCAGAAATGGCGTTGAAGTTGTTATTGTTGTATTTCCTGTTAGCAATGATGCAATCACAGAAGGTGTTGAAGGTGTCATGGTTGAATTCTCTATTAACAATGATACATTCACAGATGCTGTTGATACTGTCATTGATGAAGTTTTGGCTGGGAATGATGTATTTGCAGATGGTGTTAATGCTGTTATTGTTGTATTTAATGCTGGTAAAGATGTTTTCACAGATTGCGTGGATGTGTTGTTGAATTTTCAATAGGAAACAACGTATTCATAGATAATGCTGAAGATGTCATTGTTGTATTTCCGGTTAGCAATGAGGTATTTACAATCGCAGATGGTGTTGAAGTTGTAATGGTTGAATTACCTGCTGGCAATGATGTATTCAAAATTGGGGTTGAAGCTGTGATTGTAGAGTTTCCTGTTAGCGATGATGTATTTACGGATAATGTTGAAGCTGTCGTTGTTGAATTTTCAATAGGCAACAACGTTTTCATAGATAATGCTGAAGATGTCATTGGTGTATTTCCGGTTAGCAATGAGGTATTTACAATCATAGATGGTGTTGTAATGGTTGAATTACCTGTTGACACTGATTCTGTTATTGATGATAGTACTGTCATGTTTACTGGCAAGGTTGCATTTTCAATTAGTGATGGCTTGTTTTCTGTTATTGTTGTTTCAATATTAGTTGAATTTTTTTGAGTTACTGAACTATTGTTTAGGGTTGATATGTTAATATTAGAAGAAGTTAAATTGCTGGATATGCTTGAAGGTGTAGTAGTTTCTGTTGCATTAAACATTGGTACACTGTTGCTTAGTTCATTGGATGTTGTAGGGCTTATTAATGATATTGTAGTGGATTTTGTTGTCTCTGGGTATAATATTGAGATTGCGCAACTTGATGCAGTGGATTGGGAAGAGGATAAGTGAGGAACTTCTGAAGACGTTGTGGATATCTCAGAATTGTCTGTGGTGATAAAAGGTGTAGTTGACTCATTGTTTGGACTTGTCTCCTGTTTATCTAAAATTTAGAAATATGTTCCATATAAAAAGTTAGAGATGAGCTAAAACTAATAATGAGAACTCTTAGCTTAGAATTACCATCTAAAATTTAATTAATGTAGTAAACAATTTGCATTGTTAATTTTGACTCTTTTTTATAATTACAATCTCTGATTACAATTGTTAATTAGGGCCAAATGAAAAACGCAATGAATTTTAAAATTGAACTAATGAGATCAAATGTATTAAAATGAAAATGCTTAACCTGTTTGATGGGTGACATCCTTGATGTTGATAATAAAGTTCATCTCCTCTGTTCCAGTTTTAGCATCTTTTATTGATATTTTTAACATGTTCCTAATATCACCATTCTCCTTCTGAAAGCTAGCCTCAACACTGACCATAAATCTTTGATGAAATACATGCTCAGTTGCTGACGAGCTATTGTTCAATTGAAAATTCATGTTTGAAGCTTCAGAGGTATTTTTTATTGTTGTGGTATGGTCTGGTTTGTTAAAGGTAGTACTGGTAGTTGAAGTAGTGGTAGTTAAAGTACTGGGTTTAGCAGTTGTCGGGGCTGATAAGTACCCAATATTATCAGTAGGTGTAAGAATTGGAGCTACAGGGGGCAAAGTCTAAACACACATTAATTTGAAATCAATTTTAAATTTCTTTTATGTATGATCCAACTATTAACAATAAAATAGATATCTTTCAAAATACTTTTTGAAAATGCTGTGTAATAATGTATTCTGTTACCTTGACATGACATTTGCAAACATAGATGCTAAGAAGACAAATATCTTTACATTCGGTGCTGGTGCAGGTTGAACAGAACGTACAATATCTACAGAACAATTAATTAATGTAAAGGAATATGATTTTAACCACCCAACAACATAGAGTAAGTACAACTCTAGATTACCCTCAAGAAGTCCTATTTTTCAGTATTTAGTTTTCATAATAGCTTTATAAAATCTGGAAACAAAGAAGTCAAGTTTAACTGGGTTTATTATCTCAAAAGATTGCCAAGTGGGGGAGTGTACTTTAAAAGTGTAAATAAATTCCACTGAAAGTGGAGTTTTGAATTGAAGTTTTTGAGAACTAATTAAAAACTGGTTTTAGTTTCCAGTTATGTTTGCTGGGCCTGTTATTATAAAACTTATAGATATGAAATTATGAATAGAGTTGAAAATATAAAGCTTTCTTAATAAAAGTTCTTTCTTTTTAAGGTGTAAATAAGTAAGGTGTTGGGGGGTAAAATGCAGAAATAAAAGTGTAAAAGACATTACAGCATAAAATTATAATCTGTGTTATAAGTTTTACCTGTGAGGGCATGAATACAAGCTCTCCAATATAGAAGATCTTATATTCTGGCATTCTTGCAGTTGATCTTCACAAATCACACTATCTTTCAGCATATCTCCTTGCAACAGGGAAATCTTCTTCACACAATTTTCCCCTAACATTAAAAATACTTTGATCTTTCTTAGTCAAAACATAATTGAAATCTTTATCATTTTGATTCGTCAGAACAGGGTTCAAAATTTAGGGGAAAAGGAATTGAGTCTTTGGAACAAAATCAAATATTTAAACCTCAATATCTTTAGAACCCGATGTTATAAACCTTTGATATTTCAAACTCAGATTATTTGATTTAACAGAATTTATAGTTTGAAATATCTAAGGTCTGCAACATTTGGTTCCAAAGATATAGTGATTAGAAAATCAGAGTTTGTGGCAAAGACTCAATTCCTTTCTTGTAGAAATGTTTCACTGTGTCACAATTTAAATCATACCTATTCCCATCATTTTACCGCAATTTTTAGAGCAGTCATGATTTAGGATACATTCATTGATATCTGATGAATATTTCTGACATTTAACTAAAAAATTCGGAGATCTGAGAAACTTTCTTGGATTGAATGTAAAACCAACTCCTTTTTCAGCTGGCACACCATCCAGGAGACAATTTCTTAAAAACAAGAAAAAAGTAATTGTAGTTAACAATTTTGATTTCAATGAAGCATTACTTTCTTTTCTTAGTTCTACAAACTAATTTTCCTACCTTAATTTTCCTTCAATTCCACATTTAGACTTCAGATCATACAATAAGTCCTAAACAGCGTAAAAAATATCACTCAACAACGGTCCACATTAATATTTATATTTCCTCTTTTATTATTTTATTAGATTAACCCTATTCAGGCTGACGGGTCCCTGGGACCCCCCCCCCCTCTCCTCCCTCTATTTGCTTATTGTGATACAAATCTATTAAATCTGATACATTTTTGCAAAATATGATACTTATACATTCTTGAAAAGCCCTCACCACGGCAAATTCAAATCTACTCAACCCCCACCCCCTCTTGAGAACCCAGCTGAGAGGACGTGGATTAAAACGGATTAAAGAGAACTCCAATTCTACCAGGATTCTACCAGGATTCTACCAGGAGGAGGAGTTTTAATCTAAACACTAGCAAATGAATGATTTTCCTTTGACCTGTACTCTGACATAATTCCACTGAGAATTATTTTCACATACAGAGTTGTTGGATAAGATTATCTCTATTTTCTTGATAAATATCTCATTTTTTTCCTCCTCATATTTATGCTTCTTAAGAAGTTCTGCTTGTGCAAGTATGTCTAGAAAAATGTTGTAAGAGATAGCGCTTATCTACAATTAACGACAAAATTAGATTAAGACAATTAAAACTTGTAACTTCAAGCCATTAAAAAACAGATGTGATAAGTGATTTAACTACAAAAGTTCTGACCTTGGATAATATTGGGTTCTGGGGAATTGAAAGTAAAAATGTTGGCTCACATATTCTGGATTGTGAAGCATATTTTCTTAAAAGCCTCGTTTCCAATACGAATATATATATTTAAAGCTTATGATAAAAAAAAAAAATGGTTGAATTGAGAATTGTTCACGTTATCAAAGCAAAGGATACCAAAAAAATCTAATAATTCGGGGAAGAGAAAAAATTTGTTACATACCTTTCCCCGTCTGGATAAAAGTTCCAAATGATATTGCAGTTCGTCTCCTAGCTCTATCGCAGGTCAATCTTTGGAATTGTTTTAATCTTTGACCAGTATTTTTAGTTTTTTTTTCTTTCCCAGAAACTTTCTTTTTTGTTTTCTTGGGTTTGTTTTTCTGTGAAGAACTGGTCTTCACAGGTTTTTTCTGCACTTTCTTCTTTAACTTTGATGTAAGATTACCTGAAAAAAATTGTATTAACATGCTGTCAATAGAATACTTTTCACACTCATGTCAGTTCAATGTAAGTTTTTAAATGTTAAGAAGTTAAATGTTGTTTTGAATCTGTAAAAGCTAATTTTTAATTTAGAATTACGAACACTATTTATATAACTAAAAAAAATTTTAAAAGTTCAAAAAAGAAAAAAACATCATTAAAAGTGATGGAACATGGGTTCTTCTTTTATTTTTAAACTTTTAAGGTAAATGGACTCTTAAAATGTTCCGCAAAATGTTCCTTAAAATGTTCCTCAAAATCTGAGAAAATCTGAGAATTTCAATTTTCAAAATTGTTTCTTTTTTGTTTATTCGCTTTTCTTACACTTTGGTAAATTTTGACCCTTAGAGAAAATAAATGCAAAACATAAACGCTTATATTTTCTCTAAAACTATAAATTTGGCATAGTTTAAGAAAAGCTAGCTTTCACAGAATACAGTTTTGAAATGTTGGAAGTTCACCATGTTCATGCCTTTTAAAAGTAAAAAATCTCAAGTATATACCAAAAACCAATTTATAACCCATCATTGATTATGATGTCTGAAATCTTTTTTAAATAAATTCTATATAATAGAGCTCTTCACTCATATACATTTATATAAATACACTTTTTCAAAGACACTATATATATTTATAAAACGTCGTTTTATTGCACTAAACAAAGCTTCTAGTAGGTACCTGGTGCAATGCTCATAACAATACCATAAAGATAGAGAATTGAAAAAAAAATGTTAATCATCTTTTTTGAAAAACTTTAGAAAAGAGACCGAGTCCATTTAGAATAAAATACCTACTTTTGAAGGTTATAACGGCATTTTAGAGTGTTTCATCAACGAACCCCCCATTTAAAACGTTTAGTAAAATTTAAAGCTTAAACACACTATATATATGTATATTTGCAGTGACCTCCAGTATTAAAACCTTCATCTTAAATTACATATTTCTATCTATATGTTCTTGTTATGAGAATTTTACCTACTAGAAACACTTCTTAGTACAATAAAACGACGTTTTTTCTTTGGAAACGAGACCAAGCACATTTTGAATATTATTCATTTTTGAATGTTAAAACGGAATTTTAGAGCAATAAGGTTTCATCGACGGTTCCCCTTTTATGGCCATTGGTACAATTCACATGTATATTAAAAGGGGGAAACAAGAAAACGATGGTTAGTAGGCTAAAAAGCTTAAACACATTTTTTTAGTGTACATGTATATATAAGAAGAGGCAGAATGTTTTTAAAACCTTCTGTTCTGATCTCTACATTTCCCTCTGGCTTAGCTAATGTTGTGGTTGTTGTGGTTGTTGTGGTTGTTGTGGTTGTTGTACTCGTGGTTGAAGTTATGCTTGAAGAATTCGTGGTTGTTCCTGAGACGACATTCTGAAATGTTTACAAGTATTTTGACTATTTTAGAAAAACAATCAAATATCATCATTTTGTGGATAATCAATCAAAACAACCTAAAGAGTTAAAATTTCATTAATCTAGACCTACAAACTATGGAATATTATGAAGATTAAATTGAATAGTTGATGTCATAAAGCAAAAAAATCAGTGACTTTAAATAAACTTTGTATTCAATGTACAATTTCTGTGCTTCATTATCAATGGCCTATTCAAAATTAATTTAGTAAAATTTAAGTATTTCGCAGATTCATGGGTACCATGCACTGTAAAAGATTGGGAAAGTCTTTCTTAATTTCTTATGATTTCCAGTTGAATAAAATATGAATAAGAAATAAAAGTATTGCTTTTCAGATCCAAAGTTTAAACTGTAATTTAAAAAAATAATAAATAACATTTTTACCAACTCACGAATATTGGCTTCATTCTCTATTAGGGAAGAAAGGACGTCATTTTTTGCATTTTTTCTGGAATTCTCTAACAAATCAGCATTCTTTCCTAGACTTTCAGATGTTCCTTTGGGTTTCTTTTGCTTCATTCTTTTCTTTTTCTTCTTTATCACATTTTTTTTCTTCTTCTCCAATATATTTTTACTCCTTTCTTTCTCTTTCTTTTTGAGTTCTTCTTTGGGGGCAGATTTTTTATCCCTTTTTTCGTTTTGTGTATTCGGTCTTTTTAGTTTTCTTAAAATGTTTTGTTTTCCATTTTTAGAATTGACCTTTTGTGTTTTCTTCTTTTTCTTCACCTTAATCTTTTTTTTCTTTTTTTTCTTTTTGTTCTTTTGTTCAGTAAGATTTTTGTTCTCCTTCTTGCTCTTTCCTGACTTGCTGCTGGCGTCATCTATGTTTTGATTTTTTCCTATGTTTTCCTGCCATTTGGTAAAATTTATAAAAGTAAACGAAATTAAAGAGAAAACAATGTTAAAAATCTTTGATATTTTTTCACAGGGAGTGTTTGAAAAAAATTAAGGAAGTGTACAAAGGCCAAAAACTCTTAAATTTGGAATCGAATGGTCTCAATCTTTTTTTCATCGGATGTTTGAGTATAATGAGAAAATTTTAAAAAGCCTTTGTCTTTTAGGTGTAAGGTATTTTCAGAATGGCTCCCAAGGACGACTTCCCAAATTACAATTTTCCAAGTGGCAACTTCCCAAATATGCAAATTCCCAAGCGGAACCTTCCCGAAGGTTAGGTTAGGCCTTTTGAGCCGTCCCAGGCTGCAATGGGGGCAAACGCTGCTGCTGAGATGGACTTGAGGGCTGAGCTCTGCCGCTAGAACAGGCACTGCGATTAGGATAGACTAGGGAAGTTGGTTTTTGTGAAGCGGCAAATTTTGGAAGTTTCCATTGGGAAAATACCCTTGGGAAGTTGCCGCTTGGTAAAATGCCAATAGAAAAGTACCTAACATAGTCGTCAACAGAAAGGAATCCAGCGAACGCCCCGATGCATAATTTATTCAATTAATTTAAAATGATCCATTTTTTGCGATAAAAATATTCCAAATTGAATTCCGGTCACTTTTATGAAGTTTTATTTTTATATGATGTGTGTACTTTGTAAAACAATAATAGATTTATTTTTATATGATGTGTGTACTTTGTAGAACAATAATAGATTTATTTTTATATGATGTATGTACTTTGTAGAACAATAATAGTTTTATTTTTATATGATGTGTGTACTTTGTAGAACAATAATAGATGTTTTCCGCCAGAATGCACGAGTTGCGAACGCCCTGTTTTAATGTTGAATTTGATAAAAGTTTAGTTTTCTTTTTATTCTTTTATGATTTTTTCCTTAATCAACAATTTACTTGATTCATCAGCGTCTTTAGAAAAGGAACTTGCTAATGCTAAAGATTTAGGTTTTCCTATTCTTCCCAGCTGAAAGGTAGGATTCTAAACAAAAATAAATCCAGATTTTTTTCTTATACAATACGTTTTTTAAATGGTTAAATTAACAGAGGCACAGGCATTTCTAGATTACACCTAACATATGTCTAAAAGTAAATTATGTATATAATTGTATATTTCTGACGTCTGAAACTTCTTAAGATATATTATAACTGTAATTATGTTTTTTTCCACTGGGTCCCAAGTGTTTCAGACAGTTCCATTTTACATAACATAATAATGATTTATTATAATTGATTAATAACTCTCAAACGATTAAGTAAGGATTCTAAATTACAGAAAACTTTATAAACGTAACTTAAAATGATGGTCTATATGTGAATGGAATGTCCAATTTCCTACAATAACAAGGAGCAAGGATTTATATTCAGTGAGAAAATACAAAGGAGTTGATTCTTTGCCACAAACTCTGATTTTCTAATCCCTATATCTTTAAAACCCAATGTTGTAAACCTTTGATATTTCAAACTTATATTATTTGATCTAACAGAATTAATAGCTTGAAATGTCAAAGGTCTACGACATTGGAATCTAAAGATATAGGGATTAGAAAATCAGAGTTTGTGGCAGAGACTCAATTCCTTTCTTTGTTGTCGGATGAATGAAGAAAAGTTTAATTGTGAATCTAACATGATACTCTACAAATAGGCGGTACCATGAAATTACGTCTACAGTCCCTGAAAGCGATAGAAAATTAATTTTAAAGAACATATTTTTAGAATAAAGGAATTGAGTTTTTGTCACAAACTTAATTTTTCTTATTCCCATAACTTTGAATCCTGATGGTGTAACCCTGTGATATTTCAAACTTAGCTTAATTCATCTTACATAATTCATAGTTTGAAATATCTAAAGTCTACTTCTTTAGTTTGCAAGGATATAGGGGTCAGAAAATCTGAGTTTGCTGCAAAAACTCCTTTGTTTACCATTTTTGATAGATGAAGTAGGAAGGTAAACGCAATTACAAGGAGCTGCTTATTAATTGCTGTCATTTCTGTAAATCATTTCAAAATTTGAGTTTTGTTACTAAGCAATAAAAACCATCGAGTTGTGAAATCTAAAATAAGTAGATATACAAATTTTGAAATGGTCATTTTCCTGTCTCTCTTAGTTTCTTTTTTTGGACAGGTTTTATTTGTCAAGGCTTCTTCAAACATTTTTTGTCACTTTCAATTCACACTCCTATCAGGTTATAATACAGATTTATTTATATTAATCATAATCTCTCAAAAATCAAGATGAACTTGCAATTTCTTGAGATGAAAATATATCAACGTTATTAATTGAGTTGTAAAATCAAATTAAGCTTGCATTAACGAGTTAAAGGATTCCAAACATAGATAAAGATAGATTGCGCATAAGACGACATTTTTCATCTTGAAAGATATAAATGTGTACAGAGATGTTTTAAATATATTCCTATTATATAGATTAACTAGGTCGGTTGTGAACATTGACTGTTCTATAAGTCATGAAGTACTTGAGGTGTACATGAGTTCTGTAGAGAGAAATTTAAGTTAGTTTAGTCCTTCTCAAGTCCTTATTCGGTTCTCGTCAATATGATATATTGCTCAGTGAAATATTGTTGTTCAAATAGTTCCATTCCCGGAGTTATTTTAAACTCTATTATGAAATCTATTAAAACACCAAACCACCCTGCTTATCATTGAAGTACACTTTAACTCTAGAAGTATGAGTTCGCGGACTGTACAATTCTTGGTGATTTTGCGTACATAAGCTATCTATGTTTATTTATTTATCTATGATTCCAATTCATGTGCGCAAGTAAGATGCAATTGTAATTAAAATTCTTTCAAATTTAAAAAATCTTATTTATTGTTCATCCTAATTATTAACTATGTATATTCTGACGACATATGCCTGACGTTTTGTATTTGATATTTCAAAATGTAAAAGAAAGAATAATTATTAAAACACAGATTAGGCCATCTTGACTTATAATTTTTTGCACAAATTGTTTTAGTTTTAAAAACAATGAAACAAAGGTTACAGAATCTAGGAAAAATAAAAGCTTACACAAAGTTTGTTAATGTTCGTGAATGAATCGTACTCTACTTCAAGACCTGTTTTTCGGATGATGGTAGAACTTTGTAATATAACAAAACTCCGTGCATAAAACATAGACAATACCTCTCTTTTCCTATCTGCATAATCTGTGATTATCTATTTTTTAACACTATATTTTGGTAAATTTTGTGATAGTACTGTAATAAATCTATATAAATTCCTAGAGTGAGTATAACCCTCAAAGGTTAAAGTAAGATATCTGTAAGCCTAAAACAAATTAGAAAATAAATCATTAATCCTGGGCAGCTGGATTGCCTCGTATACAGAGGTAAAGAGCTAAATCTTTTTTCTTCCAAGAGAAGTTAAATTTTAACTTACAACACTGTTCAGTAGTGAACTTACAAACTAACAAATTTTCAACTGTCAAAATATTGAATTGACAGAATGTGAAAGTGTCAACTTTCAAGTGGCAAAGTACTCAACACCCCTTTAAAATATCATTTTACATTACAACGCTAGTGAATGTTTATTATTTATCCCCAAAAATATCTTGAACTAACCACACCTGTGTAATGTCCATATTATAATATGCAATACATTAAAAAAGGCTTAAAGCAGGAAAAGTTTCCGGTGGCCGAATTTAAAGAATTTGAGCGGCGGTTTAAATTTAAACCTCGGCTTAAATATGGTTTGTTCCACTTAAAATTGTATCAAATGTTTCAAGATTTAAGCCGGCGCTTAATTTAAACCGGGTTTTGGCAGATTTAAACCGCGGCTCAATTTCTTTAAATTACATCTCGGGAATGTATTTTACTAAACGAAAAGTCGTTAAGTTTAACATAAATCATTTAGATGACAAAAATGATAAGTACGTGTGCGTTTTATGCTTTTTTAACTGTAAAAAACACTTGTTTATGTCTATATTTTGTTCTTTTTTGATAATTTTAGGCCTTTTTGTAAATATTTGTAATCTAAATCTATTAATAATGTTTTTAAAAAATAAACATTACTATTGCACGTTATAAAAAGAACTTTATTGACTCTAATTGGAGATAATAAGAGTAAACAGTTGTGGTACTGCACCTGAAGCCATGTCTAAGAGGCAAGATAAACTGATCTCTTGTATTTGAATAGGTAAAATACGCAGCGTGTTATAGACAAAAAACAGATGTGCTGAAAACCTTGAAGAAACGTAAAAGATCGGCAAAAAAAACCTACGCAGATAAAAATCTATAAAAAGTTTAATTTTTCAAAGTAAAAATAACGCAGTTTTGACAATTCTTGACATTTTTTCATTTTAAGAATAAAGTGGAGCAAAGTCTTAACGTTGATTTGCTATTTACAATTAATTAGACGCTTAGCTAACCCTTTTCTTGTATCTAGTTTTAGCTTTAAATTGTTACTTTTCAACCCACCATTTTGTATTTGTAAATATTTGCAAACCAATGTTATTGACCATAGATATTTCAAACTTTGAATGCTGTTAGATCAGATAATCAAAGTTTCAAATGTCAAATATTTACACCACCAGGTTATATATATAGAAGGATTAGAAATTTTGAGTTTGTGGCAAAGACTCAATTCTCTTATTTAGTTTTTTCTTCAAACTTTGACAAGGGAATTGAGTTTTTGCCACAAATCCCAATTTTATAATACCTAAATCTCAACAACCAGATGATGCATACCTTTCATATTTCAAACTTACATTTCTTGAACCACCAGAATTCTTAGTTTGAAATATCTGTGGTCTACAACATTTGGTTTTAAAGAAATTGGGATTTAAAAATCCGAGTTTGTGGCAAAGACTCATTTCCAAATATTTTTTTTTTAATTTCGATCATGAACTTTCTCTGGGGTCATATGAATTGCCACAAAAACTTTGATTCGACGTGTAATTTGGTCCGATCTGTTCAGCCGTTTTGACGTTTATTGGATAAAAGCAGACAACAGAAAATCCAATGAATATATGAATAATCGAGCAGTATTAAAAAGTATAACGACTTTTTGAAAGAAGTTCTCCAGATCAAAGGGAAAAAACGTAGAATAAGATGATTAACAATCTCCTTCAAAGTATATCAGTCCTGGATTTTTAAACGATGAATAGTCTATTTACCTAAAATGTTATATGTTTATAATGTCTCTTTTAGGAAAATGGTAACTCATTAAACTCTGAAAATATGTTTAAACAGCTGTGTGGTATATAATATTGTTGAAAACATGTTGCATGTTTGGTATTCTTTTCTGTAAAGTATACAATTAGGTTTCATCATGACTGTTTCAGGCTTGTCACTATTGCGCAACTTTTATGCGCGCAATCCAAACAATTTGCCAAAAGGCCTAGAACACAAAATTGTTCTTTGTTCTAAGTATTTAATTAACAACTAGAATTAAACTTATAGCTTATCTTAAATTCCAAACTATAATAAATAGTTTAAGATTCTGAGATATCTTGAGTTTGTTTGAAAGAAATAATCAAAGTACTAGAGAATTATGGATTCAAAATAAATTAAGCTAATATTTTCTTAACAAACAGATTTGGGTTTAGTAAAGATTTTTTACCCCCTTGGATATCAATCATCCGTCAACTATTTCAACTTCAACCCCCCCCCCCCTGAAACTTAACATATTTTCCTGTCCCTTTGGACCTCAAAATACTATTTACATTAATCACAAGTGTAAATGTCGGCTTATTAAAGAACAATAAAAAATCTTGTTCTCACAACATTTCCGTTTTAAGCTAAGAAAGATTTTTCAAGCTTTCTTTTTCTCCCAAACCCCCCCTCCCCTCTTACTCCCCTCATAACACAATTACACTGAATACTGGTCAATTCAGTTTAGACGCAGTTTAAAGAAATTGTTCTAAATAGTGAAGAATCCTAGTCTGTAGTTACTAGAGCAAGGATTACAGTCAAACCAAATAATTCTTTAAAAGTTAAGACTTTCTGATTTGTCGTTACTCGTTATATTATACAGTGATACTCTGAAATATGAAGACAACTTTTAGACTCAAATTATAATTGAAAAGTCCAATGAGCATAAAACACAGCAATTCATTGTAAACAAATCCATTTTACTAACTTGGGGATTTAATAAGTGTCTAGTACAACTATTTATTTTGTATCAAAATCAAATACACTTGAGTGTTGCTAGAATGTCGTCTTCATATTACAATGTTATCTGGTTATCAGTGTATATTATTTCAGAAAATTTTCAATTAATTAAAATAAAAGAATAAAATTGTTGACAAATTTTTATAAGAGTCCTTACGATTTTGTTTCCTTTACATTAAATTAAAGTTTTTTTCGTTTACATTTATACAAATATGATTTAATGTTCATGTAATAAAACACGTATATGCGCATTATTTGTTTATCTTGTATATAAATGTTCGTAATACGTTATCTGTATCCTAACTACTCTCGTTAATTCTGAGAAAACCTATCGATCCTTATCCTTAACATTTACTATATAAAACCCATCGTTACTTTAGATATAAATTAGTTTAACATGAATCTTTGTTTCATTACGTTGAAACACGTATTAATTCTCGTTTAGAGAAGCAGAGGGTCAGCTCAAATTGTATTTTGAAAGACAGAAACAGACTAAAGGAATACATATAGCGTCGTATCCTGAAGTGATACAGACTAAAGGAATACATATAGCGTCGTATCCTGAAGAGATACAGACTGAGGTATTATTAATCGGACAAGGCGAGGTTCGAGAGTGAGTTGTATCTGTACAATAAACATAAAGGAATTCATAGAACGTCGTATCCGGGTTGATACAGACTGAAGTATTATTGTAGAACATTGAGTTCTAGAGCGAGTTGTATCTGTACTATACACATAAAGGAATATATATACCATTGTATAAGGGTTGATACAGACTGAAGTATTATTGTAGAACATTGGGTCCTAGAGCAATTTGTATCTATACGATACATATTGAGAATATAGAAGGTTAAACCTCGATTGGTACAGGCTTAAGAGAACTTGTTGGAGTAAGGCATTTGCTACATTCATTATTTTCAGGATTAATTATTATTTTTTTCTAGTTTTTTTTCTATAGACAATGCTTCTTCCTGGGTCAAGATATCCAGACTTTCAAGCTACCGGGGTTTATCTAGGTAATAAACAGTGTCATAGAAGACAAAGGTGCAGAAAAAGTCCAAAAATGTATAATTTATGTTTGTTTAAATGGGATATTGCCTGAACAAAGTAATGTTCCTTTCATCTAAGATTTCATTAAAATATATCGTTTAAGCAAACAAACACTTGTTCACCCAACTTAAAATAAAAGAGTAAGTTTGATGAATAAACAGGAATATTTTTAGCAATAGGTCAAAGTTAAACTAAGAAAATTCGTGCATGCAAGCGCCGTGACTATGAAAGCAAAAACTAGATTTAAAAATCCGAAATTACAGTTCAAATTATAAAGCATCAATATTTAGGAGGAGAGGTCGTCATTAACTCTCAAGATTATCTCAGGTCTAAACAGTTTATCCCAAAGATGTAATGCAAAGAAAGCTATTCCAAAAGTGTACGCATCTTTTGTACTGCAGTGTACTGTCTCTGGGCGGTAATGTAAACAAAAGACGGATGTTACAGCCTGACATGTGATCCATCTTTCACATAAAAAAAATCAATGAAATATTCTAGTCATAGAAAAATATTATGTGAATTATCAAAATTATCAAATTTAATGCTTTTAACCTGCTCGGATACTTAACAAACACTGATGCATCCAAATAGGTTGTCAAGTACAATAGATGGCAACAGAAAAATCGACCAACTGCGCACAACGTCATATGTGTCAAATGAAAAAAGAAAGACGACATGTCCTCTAATTAGTTGGTATAATTTCCAAGATTCGGTGAAGATAAATGTCGTCTTTGTAGGAATACGTAAAAAATATTTACAACTCNTAAACATTTCTGAAATATGTTTTAACGTTATACTTTCGAATTACAATGTTAAAGGGTTCCGTACAATATCAGTTTCAACCCTGTTATTTAGTCTATAGAACGTTAAATGAAAAAGTGTAAAAACAGAAATAAAGAACACATAAAATTGCACTAATTTCACTAAAAGATAAGCTCTTTAGTCTAAAAATATCACTTTTATTTATAGTTTTGTCAGACAGAAAATTTGAGTTGACACTTATGACGTTTAAACAGCTGTACTGAAAGTGTACGCATTCTGTGTTGCCGTCTATTGTACTTGACAACCTATTTGGATGCATCTATTCTTGTTTACAAATTCCGCCCAAAGAGAACTGGTTTCAATATGTACGCAGAGTATACACGACCGCAATTAACTTTCCTTGCATTACACCCTTGGTTTATCCCTTGGATTCTCAATTTAAGATTATTAGTTTGAAATTTCTGTACATCAAAAGTTATCCTTTTATACATATATGCTAATTATTATGATACAGTTATATCAGTATCTATTCCCAAATAAATAAATGATCTACCCTAGCTTGACCTTGATTAACTATTAATATAATTATTTTAATATTATGCTATTTACATATGATGATATGCATAGAAAGGCTAGGGTGATACCACGGCATAGAAAGCATCAGAAAGTATTATCTTCCTACTATCGAGGATTTAAGGTTAAAGTTTTTGAATCGTTGTTACCATACAAAATAATTATTCCACAGCTAAATCTTTTTTTTATTTTAGGAGGGATATTTGTCCATCATTTTCTATCCTGCTAATTTTACTCTGTCAGCACAACAGGGAAAAAATCAGTTTTTGGTTTATTGATATATATACTTCGAATATTGTGGAATCCATACAACTATGAAATATGAAAATCCTTTTGAGACTTGCATCATGATTTGCGCAATTGCAATTGTGCAGTTTACACTTTACACAGACCCTTTTCGCTATAAAAACTATATGATCCATTTCAATGTGAAATGCAAGATGTTTTATGTGTTTCTATTCCGCATAGTTTTATTGTGCCTACTATATAGACATACTAAGGAATTGATTTTTTAATCCCTAAATTTTTACAACCCAATGTCGTAGACCTTAACTATTTCAAACAATGAATTCTGATAGATCAATTAATCTTGAAGCTTGAAATATCAAAGGTTTCCATTATCTGGTTGTAGAGATATAGGTAGTAGAAAATTGGGATTTGTGGCAAAAGACTCAATTCTTTTGTTAAGAACTTAAGAATTTTTTTTCCCGATCAAAAAAAAACAATAATATATTTAATTTTCAAAATATTTTAGATACTTTAAAATCTTCCAATCTTCAAATACAATAGTAAAAGTAAAGAAAATTACATAGGTTACATTTTCTTTAATTTTACTTTTACTTTTACTACAGTCTTTCTTTTTCTTGTTTTTAACATTTAAATGACTGAATTATTTAAAGCTTAGAATTTGCTTGAACTGTCTGACAACCTAGAAGAGTTCTATGGACGAGAATGCAGAATTTTAGGTAACTCATAAAAACTCGAGCCAGCAAACTAAAAGAAACTGATTTTTTGCCATAAACTCAAATTTTCTAATCCCTATATCTTGACAACCTGATGGTGAAATTTTTTACTATTTCAAACTTAGACTATTTGACAGTATTCATAGAATTCAAAGGTCCAGATATTTGACTTTATAAGTTTTTGGTAAAAAAAATAGTTATGATACANGATGGGGTGCATTTAGTACCTATACTTGAGTAGATTCTTGTTTTCCAAGGGTAGAAAAAGAAAAATTCTCGTTCCTATTTTTCCCAGGTTGTCATTTTAAAATTATTCTTTTTAGCATGTAGTCAAGAATCCATCTATAGTACTGTTCAATGGATGAGCACAGACAGGTGTAAACAAATTATCCATATTATATTCACTCCTCTTTAATTGAAAATTCATTTCAAGTCGCAAAATCACGATTTTATGGAATGTTTGAATATATTTATCACTTGTGAATTATAATATAGTGAAAACTAACTCCTTCCATAAAAACAATTTAAAATCTGAAAATAAATGGAGTTTTACATACACAAAATGGCGTATGGTAATTAATGACTCAAAGTTTGTTATTTGCAACAAGACCAGTTTAATTTCAGAACAAGTGGTGGGATTGCAAACTTGAGGTTCCCAGTTATTTGTGATAAACTTGGAGATATATGCAGAGGATTTAATGTTATTGACCAAAACAGCGGCTTTTTACTACCTGCCCTTTTTATACTGGTAAAGTTTTGACCTAATAGTGTTTTATGTATAATGTATATATGTGTATTGTTGATGTCAAAATTAAAGAGAAAAACAGGAAGCCCAGATGAATGGAAAGAATCAAAAAAATTACGAAAAACGACCAGATTTATAGAGAAAATATATTACACAAAAATCATAGATATTTTGAGGGAAATACAAATATTGAAAATATTCAAATATATTTTATCAATTAATACGATATTTTATTATTCATAACCTGTATGTATATGAGTTGAACAATTTGATCACAGTGCAAAATGTTCGAAAATATTGTAAAATCTAACCAATACGCACCATTGTCAGGACACACTTGGGCTGGTCAGACATGTTTCTTTATATCAGGAACCAGTTTCAATTTGTTCATATGAACTGCTAAGGTAACAAACTTTTTTTTAACTTTTCGTTTTCAATGTAATATCAAGAAATTAAACCCTTTTGAAAATCTTATCCACTTAAACACTTAATCTCTAAAATTTTTTAAAGCTTTATTAGTATTTGATCACTTCAATGTAACAACAAAAAACATAATAAATTATATTTGCTAAAAAAGTTTTTCTAGAGTACTTGATGTCCTAAATAATATTGATTCAATGGGAGAAGAAGGCTTTCCAGGTACGCACTTGAAACTTCAAAAAATAAAAATACATACATTTGAATATAATTGGCCGCTTATTTTGTTTGTGAAATTTAGTATAATATCTGCTTTATTGCTGCTTAAAATGTTGCATTTGGATTCAGCGCTATAGAACAGAACAGTAGATGAAAAATAAGTTAATGTATATTTTTTCAAATTAACTATTTTTTTCAAAAATCAAAACTTTACAAAAAAAATTTTTGAGTTATGTAAGCAACACGTTTTTTTTGTCTAAGGTACACTTATATACTATGTATTACTAATTCCAGAGCTGCAATTACAATACTCAAACTGTTCAAGTAAAGGAAACTCAGTACGGACGGATATCATCATGAAGTATTTTAAATGGTAGTAAACTATTATCTAATTCCATTGACAGCATAAAGATTTGATAATTAACACTTTGTTTTTGTTTCAGTGAAAATAATACTGAAGAAATCACTGAAAACTTTGCAGATATGTTTGAAAAGAGTTCTCAAACAGAAGAAAAATGTTTCAAAGAAATCAGCATTCAGTGTGACTTGTTATCTTTAGAATTTTCTGAGAGCAGGGAAAAGGAAGTTAGTGAAACAGTTTGTATTCAAATTGTTGATGATATTATTGAAAAAGTGTATAAGCAAACTTACAATCATGATGAAGAACTAGAAACTTTGGTAAAACAATCAGTTCATAGCGACCACAATAAGATGATAAATGAGAAAGAGTACCAAATAGAGAACGAAATTAAAACCACAACAGAAAACAGCCAATTAGCATCCAGGCCGCCAAGATCCAAGAAGAATGAAGATGCAAATGATCCTAAATCGCTGAAAAGATTCTCGGCTATTAATATACCAATCCAACAAGAAGTCAATGTTTGCACCTCAAAAGATTTAAAGAAAATATCAATGAATGAAGATGCTTGTCCAACTAAATCCGAAGAAAGGTCAAAGTCCTCCAGTGCTTTTAAACCAGATGATCATCAAGGAGAAAAGAAAGATGACAAACAAAAGACATTATCCAAACCTAATAACAGATCAATATCTAATTCTAAACCTAGTGATAAAAATCATAATTGCCAAACATCTTAACAATTGTTTATTTAAAAACATTTATGAATATTATTAAGACATATTTAATTAAAACCAATAAAAGAATAGATGTTTTTTTGGTGAACTATAGCTTACAATTGTTATCATTAACATTTTACATTCACTGAGCTGGGAACTTTAGAATGGTGGATATCAGGATAAATGCTTGATCCACTCTTTTTCTTAATCTCCAGATTAAATATTGCTTGTTTTCCACGTGAATTTAATCTCCAGATTAATTAACAGATCGGGATTAAGGATATCACATTCTAAAGTTTTAAGCTCTGTTGATTTTCAAAGATAATAATTAATTACATAGTACATTTTCCCCTCAACATTGTTCATGCGATCGAGAAGAATTTCAAATAAGATTACTAATGGAAAAGAATAAGTATTTTACACTTGTAGTGCTTTTGTGATTTTTCTGCTAAAGAATTTACTGTTTTTGCAGACCACATTCATTTGCTATCAAAATCAATTTCTATCAGCCCAAAGGAATTGAGTCCTTGCCACATTTTCTGATTTTCTAATCCCTACATCTTTGGAACGCAATTTCATAAGCCTTTGATATTTCAAACATAATATTTGATCTAACAGAAGTCATAGTTTGAAATGTCAAAGGTCTACAACATTGGACTCCAAAGATATAGGGATCAGAAAATCAGATTTTAACACAAAGACCCAATTCCTTTGGAAGTCATATAAAACTGCAGCAGAATATGCCAACTCAATCTAAACAAATAAACATAATTTATATTCTAAAACTGCTTTGACAATTTAAACTTCTGCATGTGTTTATGAAATCTCCAAAGTTTTGACATGGCGTCAGAAACGATGTCTTAAGTATACACATGCTAGATCTAAAAAAACTGAGCATACTTTGTATACAATCAACTTGTGTAACATTTAATTTATCTGATATTAAGAATGGTAAAATATGGTTATTTCCAATGAAAGAAATTATATGATTTTGATCACAATCTCCTAAAAGGGTAACAGCGTGAGAAGTATTTAAACAGCATGAATTAAAAAGTAAACTTTTTTCATCAACTAAAGTAACAGGTTTTAGTTCTTTATCCCCGTATAGAAATCTGTGAGATGAACTTATTGTTTTGCACTGTACATACACACTNATACATATCCTCGGATACCCAGAAATATCAGAAGAATCATGTGAAGATTACAATGTATAATATCCTTCATACTTTTTACTTTATCTAATCTCCTCATATATTGTGTATCTTCTTCTCTTTTCCTTAACTGGTTCAAGTAGAGAAATATTGGAAGAACTGGGAAGAATATGAATCCAAGAACAATATTCAATGAAACAGGTGTCATGGAGATCAGCTCTGTTCTATAATAGATTTCATTTGGTAGGATAAATATTGCTGGAATCCATAGAATAATTTGCATGATAACTCCATAACTCCAGGAATTATCATTTTTCTCTCCTGATATTAGATGTAGTTGAAGGAATATGTTGACAGTGAGATAAACACTTGACAAGATTATATCCAATAGTAGAATACGGAGAAATGTAAGTTTGGATATTGATCTTCTACTGATATCCATAATATTCACATTTGTTTCATCTTGTTTGCACAAATATGCTTCATTTAATGTTTTAAGGATTCTTCTGGTTTCTATTTCTCCAGTAGGAGCTGGATATGATGCTGACATTTTCCAAAGTTCTGATCTATTGAGGTTTATCTCTGCCTCCATGTTTGATAAATCTGGTTTGTCAAGATCTGGCCTCAGGCTTTCTATGTGCAGTGGTTGTAGTGAAAGTTTGCTTTCTCTTGATTCACCAGGATTACCCAAACCTTTCCCTTAATCCTTGGAGAAAGTATTTTTTCCATCCAGGGATTATTTCACAATTGGAAGCTTTCTTTTGTAATTCAAATTATTTCTTAGTGAATTTTCCCTTTTCATTTTAAGTTGTCAAGACAAACTAATAATTCTTAAGCATAAAATTTTAAAATCTTATTTAAAACCTATTTATGTATTGCTTTCACAATTACTAACATGGCCTCATTAATACATCTGAACAAAAATTCATTATTATCCTTCATTTTCAAATAGTAAGCTAGATTTTTTTATATTTGTCAGACGTGATTGAGAGCAGTATTGATGGGGGAACTTATTTTTTATTGAAAAAACCCTAGTTAATATTGAATATTGGTGGTTTAGAACAAAAAAAAATTTCTTAAGTTGATGAATCTTTTCCTTTCAGTGTACAGTGCAGATCATTTTGTGATTACAAACTCTTAAACAGAGTAGTAAAAATGTTTATTAAGCACCCTTGTCTATATGTAGTATTGAAAGCAAAGTTACTGTAACCTTTATTCCTCCTCCTCCCCGCCCTCTTCTCTCTGAGTCATGGCAGAATAGAGAAGCTCGAGATTTAACAGTGCACACAGGATTTTTGAACAGTACAAACATAGAGATAAACAACAAAGACCTGGAACATGCACTTTTATACCACTTTCATATAGTAGATGTATCTTAAACATGCCTGTCAGAGAACAAAGGGGGCTTCCAGCCTCCTCCCCCAACATTATGAATGGATATGCATCCTCAGAATCCTCAGCATCAACGAGGGATTTGTCTCCACTGGTTTCTGGTACTGATCCAATAGGAACCATACCAGCTAGTCCAACTATGGACCAGAATATATCAGATGCTGCTCCAGATGATTCTATGTACGGAGTTGCCGGTGATCAAGAGCAGTTAGAGTATCCTTATAGACCTATGACTCAAGGAGAAGAAGAGACCGTGAGGATATACAAGGATGGAGTATGCCAGCCTCCAGATATGATTGAGGGACCAGGAGGTTTCCAGATACAGAGGTACTATTTCAGACCAAAGAGACCTATTATGGAATCATCAACAAAACCAGATTATCCAGAATTTGGAGACGCTGCTCATTGTAGAGTAGCTCTTCACAGACCTGTTTCAAGTCCAGCAATGGAAGCAGCTTAGAATGTTGTAGAAGCATCTCATATTGAAGGAGCAGCCAAAGTTTTAAGAGACTTCAAGAGTAAAGGAAGCAGCTGAGAATGCAGTAGCAGAGACTCCAGGAACAGCTAAAGTAACAGCTAGGATTGTTATGGAAGCAGGAGAGGATCCTGATGCAGGAGACGCTGATCCCTATAGAGCAGCTCTTCACAGTCCTATTGTAGGTTCAATAAAAGGAAAAGATAGTCTGGGTCCAGAGGAAGCTGATCTACATAAAGCAAGTCTCCGTAGATCCTGGACCCCTTACTTGGATCCAGAGTTGAAGGAACTCCTGATACTCCAGAAACTTGTACTCCTCCAGTTTGTTCTCCAACACCAGAGAGACCCTTCTATACTCCTGGAGCAGCCTGGATAACAGTAGAAGCAGCAATTGAAACAGCAGTTTATATGGAAGATTTTGTTGATGTATTGCAAGTTGTTATTGAGGGATTGCTGCCTTGGTTGAAGGATGATATATCCTTTTCTGAATCATCAAATCCCAGGACTCCCAGCCCAGATAGATCATGCACAGGAGGAGCAGAATAACAGTTTCTGTTATTGAGGAACAGTTCAGAGCTTGTGATGGTCTAGATCTCCTCCTTCCAAGGGATGTCTTCAGACCACATCCTGGTCCAGCACAAGTACGAGCTGAGCTAGATATGCTTAGAACCATTATACCCAGGCAGAGAACGGATATAGTCTCTGTAGCTGAACAGTTGTTTTCCAGACCATAAGAGAGAGCTGATTAAATCAAGATTAATCAGTTATAGATATGTATTAATAATAAAAAACTTAACTATGACAAACTCTATTTATTAGTAAACCTGACTGATTTCCAGATAGAGAGATTATAAAGGGATTTTAAAAGTAATGGGAACCAAGGTGAAGGTTTTACATATGCCCAACCCATAGGAGTAAAATTTGGATCCAGAAATATATATATATACCTGGATTGGAGAAATTATTCGAAAGAGTCAAGATAAACTAACATGGTGTGGTTATAAGAACCCCTTTAATTACTTTATCAATCTGTTTAAAAATGGAATAAAGATTTTTGTTTCTCCACAAGTAGGGTTTCCACGACACAGAAGATTTCTTTGCACAAAATGTATTTTTTTGCATTATTTTTGCACTATCTGGGTATCAATATAACACCAGTATGGAAATTAAGTAATAATTATATTACATTATAAAGAAATTGTGCAATACCCATGAATGCAAAATTAATTCATAACTTCGGTACAATAATGTGAATGAATACAAAATTAAGTAATTTTTGTTGAATGATAGAGTGCATGAATAGGAAAGATTTAAATAAATGGACCTAATAATGTGAATTAATTGCGGTAAAAAACACTTCCATAGCATTGAGTAATGACATTGAGCAGTTGAGGGGGGGGGGGGGTTGAGGCAGGAGCGAGTCTGTATCTCTGGACTCTTATTGGTTTAATCTCATTTAATTTCATTTCCTAGAATTTGTTGAAATAGCGAAATAATAAAATAGTGAGAAAAAAAATATGCAAAAACCAAAATTTTCTTGTGCAAGTATATTTTTGTTTAGAATTTTGTGAAAACTTCATGCAAAAAAAGTTGATTGGAAACTCTATCCCCAAGCAAACACATGAACAGGTTGAACAGGTAGAATTCTATAGTCTTTTGTCTTTTGATATGGCAAAGATGTAAATTGTAAACTTGTATCAAATTGTATGAATCTTAAATACAAAGATAAAAACATATTTAAAACAATCAAAAGCAACCTTTAAAAAAGGAAGAAAAAAAATTCAGTAAGTAAGTAATTCAATTATGAAAGATCATTTTATAGGGAGGTCAATGTTGACGTGCATGGCTTAAATGAAACACTGCAAAACTAGTGTGTTAAAATCTTTAGTCATTTCTTTAGTCAATTATATAAATTTTCAAAAAAGTAGATTACTGAAAGAATTTTGTAATTTTTTAGTAAAAGAATTCCCATACTTTCACTCACAATTATTCCCTTAGCACTTAAAACAAACATTAATAATCAGTTAAAAGAGTGAAACCATTAGGTGATACTAGAATCATGATAACTAGATTAAAAACAATTTTTTTTTAAAACAAAATAATTTAAGGTCACAGAACAGTTGGTCTGAGTTATCTCCCTCTGTCAAAGTAATTTATT